CAAAATGTTGACATATGAACTAGAGAACCTTCTTTGCGATGGTAAACAGAACAGAAAAATAGAAGCCTGAGACTGAGGATGGCAGATCAAAGGTTTGTTTTACTTTTTAAAAAACGAACTGCCTTTCCATTAGCAACAAGCTAATGCACATTGTGTAAAATCAATTGAAACTGCAAACTCCTTAAATCTGAATAAAAAAACCTCAGTTTGAAATCAGCAGGAGTAGCACACAGCACCGCTTAAGTTTTTGCCATTTTCCTGAGCTGTAATCTGTTTTAGGATGGACATTTCAAAGCACTGTAATGCACAGAACAGCTTGCCATATAGGCCATCCCATAGAATTGAACCTCTGGAGGTGCCATGGGCACTGCGGAGATAAGAATAATGCTGATAATTTATTATTTATATGCCACCCATCTGACTGGGTTGACCCAGCCATTCTGGGTGGCTTCCAATGATTTATAAAACCACGGTAAAACATCAGACATTAAAAACTTCCCTATACAGGGTTGCCTTCAGATCAGGGGCACCGTTGGAGTGGGCAGGGGGTTGAGGGGTCCCCAATATTTTCAAGGAGGGGGCTGGGCCCCCCCAAAAAATCTTTGGCGACCCTTAAAAGGACATACCAGGGCCCTGCTGCATCCCTTTGACAATCACCCTGGAAGGCGCTCTATCGATCCTCAAAAGACGCTGTTATGCCAGAACTCGATCATTGTGGAGGTGCAAATAAGTGTATCATAAATAAACAATATTCCATTACAGGAAAATTATGCAAAGATAACCTTTCTTTTTTCTAAGAAAAGCAAGCCTGTAAAAACCATGGCAAATGCATTAACCTGCTTTTTCAAACATTTTCCTATTTTAATAGCTGTTTTTAATAGCAAATTATGTAGCAAAAAGATTTAATTGCATTCCCTGTATGTCCTTTTGTACAGAACTAGATATAATTTTTTTGTGTGTAGCTACGATCTATAAATAACACATATTATTTATTCAGCTATATACCCCTCCTCCTTAACACAGGTATTGTGTTCTTTAGATAAGCATGCCTTAGATTTATGAAGATGGCTGATTAGACTTTGCAGAAGAATTAATAGAGGTTTGCGTATATGGATATAAAAGGAAACATTTTTGGGGGGATGTATCTCATGTTGGAGCAACAACAACAACAACAACAAAAACCCCACTATGCACTAGGAATTTATGCTGTCTGTTGTTGCTGTAAGAATACTTGGCTTTCAAAGTAAAAATTGTACCATGCTGCCAGAAATGGTGTAAAGCTGCAATTCTATGCCCACTTACCTGGGAGTAATACTTACTGAACTCCTGAGTAGAAAGGTATGGGATTGGGCTGTGAAATACACTGGTGTCAAAAAAATATACAGTTGGTAGTCCCAAGGTGGAAAAATCATAAAAAGGTAAGCAATCCTATGCATGCTTTCTCAGGAATAAGTCTGTGTTCATTGGGGCCTACTCCCAAGAAAATATATATAGGTTTACCAACTATTCATTCATGTATTATATTCAGTGCTTTTTTTCTTAAAAAATGTTTAGGGGTACTCTCATTTGACTCAAGAAAATCACCATTTTATATTCCAAATCAGGGGGAAAAAATACAGTAAATGGACAAAAGTACAAAGATTCACAAAATGTTTAGGGGTATGCGTACCCCTGCCTACCCCCAGGAAAAAAACACTGATTATATTTATATCTCATCTTTCTTCCAGGGAGCTCTGGGTAGCACACATGACTCATACTCTCTTAACAACCCGATGAGATAGTAATAATATATAATAATTTATTATTTCTACCCCGCCCATCTGGCTGGGTTTCCCCTGAATACATGAAAACTTAAACTGTGGACAGGGTAGGTATGGTCAAATATGTCAATTTTGGTTTCTATCAGTTTATCATTTTTGCAAACCTAAGTACAGTTCTCCACATTTATGCAACAGCGATATCTTTAAGCCCTTGTGAAATTCATCATCATTTTAGTGTGATTTTCTCCTAACATGCACATTGTTGTATGCAGTTCTTCCTCCTATGAAAATTTTTGCAAAGCCGTTTCCCCTAATATATATAATGTGAGTCTTTTTTGGTATGTTATTGTCACCGATATGTGAATTTATTTGTACACCTCTGTACATGCATTTCAGTAAAAGATAAAGGTAAAAGACCCCTGGACGGTTAGGTCAAAAAGTCTCGCTTTCAGGCTGAGGGAGCCGGCGTTTGTCCACAGACAGCTTTCCGGGTTATGCAACCAGCATGACTAAACTGCTTCTGGCGCAACGGAACAGTGTGACAGAAACCAGAGCGCATGGAAACGCCATTTACCTTCCCGCCACAGCGGTACCTATTTATCTACTTGCACTGGCATGCTTTTGAACTGCTAGGTTGGCAGGAGCTGGGACAGAGCAACGGGAGCTCACCCCATCGTGGGGATTCGAACCGCTGACCTTCTGATCAGCAAGCCCAAGAGGCTCAGTGGTTTAGACCACAGCATCACCCACATCCACATTACTTGGCTAGAGAAGTGTGCTGCGACATTTGGAGAAGTGTGGCTTTCAAAGGATGGCGCTGCTTCAGTGCCTATTGTTTCAAAATTGGTAAGTTTGCCTTTGAGTGCGAACTGAATTTTCCCCCCATCCCTAGGATGGAGGCAGGAGCACCCACACACCCCAAAGTGTGCTCATGAGTACCTGTTCCCACCTGTGCATCTGACCATGTGCATCTGTCCAGAACCTCTCCATATGGAGCAGAACGCAGGGTTCACGTGGAGGGTAGTACTTGCATTCAACAGTGGAGCAAGCTGATTGGACGTCTGGGGCGGCGCGTGTGCCCTGTGCCCAGGGGTGGGGCCAGCTGCCTGTGGGCGCGGGGCGAGCCGGGGCAGGACGCTCCGTGGGGCCTCTGAGGAGTTTGCCTGCCTCCTCCCACTCAGCCGCCCTACAGCTGAAGGGGAGGCAGAGGGCGGACCATTCGGGGCAGCGTGGAATCTGCGGACGCCCAAGCCACCGTGTCACTCCCAGGAGAGACGTGTGGCTCGGGCATGCTGCAGGCCCCGCTGTGAGTGCCACCTGCCGTTTTGTCACCCCCCTCAGTGGTGACACTCAGGGTGCATCGCCCCCCTCCTCCACCCCTGCTTGCATTCAGGCAAACATTTGTCAAGCCCTTCCCTGCTCAACATGAGAAAATCAGGGTAGGGCAAACATTGCCTTGAGCTTGAGGGCATGGCTTGCAGGCATGCAATTGCCACCATCCAAAGTTTGAATGTTCACATATTCGGCCAAACCTGTAATGAATCCTAGGCGGCCTTTGCTAATTTAGGATTCTTGCATCGGATATCTTTGTGTCCTGGAATCTGATATCTCTTTATGTTCTGAAAGGCTGCTCCGATTCACATTTGTGTCAGGAAATGCCCCACAATGGTATTGCATGTGCAGAGTGCTCCTTGACGCTGGAAAGAACGAGATGACAATACCTTATACAGACCTCCACGTCGCCTCACAGCCCTCTAAGAACATTCTCAGTGTTCCATACAGTGGCTCATTTATGCTGAAACCTGCATCCATGAAATTATCTGCTAAAGGTATTTGATTAATTGCAATCACAACTCACGGTGTTTTGACGAGAGAACCTTCTTGTGGTTGTAATAATTGTTTTCATGCAGGTTATGCCAGTAATCTTAGAACAGCAAAGAAAGGGAAGAGATATCTCAGAAATGAGAAGAGTGAAAGGAGAAAGCAAATGGACTCTGTGTAGCAAAGACTTTTGAAACTAACTGGATTCCATTTCTTCACTTTGAGAATTCACTATGAGAATTTAAATTAAAATGACATATATTACATTCTCTCTCTCTCTCTCTCTCTCTCTCTCTCTCTGTGTGTGTGTGTGTGTGTGTTTATGTACACACAAAAACAGTGCTTTGGGATCAGTGTAAAAGCACCTTATTTATGCCACTAAAGCCATAAGAAATTAGGGAACAAAGGAAGCTGCCATTGGCTATTTATCTGGATATTGTCAATACTGACTGGTAGCGTGTCTCGGGGGTTTCAGGCTAGGGAATGAACTCGAGACCTTCTGCATGCACGGCTGATGTTCTATCACTGAGCTACAGTTCTCCCCTTACACTTCTGCAAAAGTTTTAGCAGGACAGGCCCCTTTCTGTTGGTTTGTTGTATTGACTGCCCTTTTGGCTGGGACTAAGGAGAGACTGGACCATAAAGTGAGAGCTGGACCATAAAGAAGGCTGATCGCCGAAGAATTGATGCTTTTGAATTATGGTGCTGGAGGAGACTCTTGAGAGTCCCATGGACTGCAAGAAGAACAAACCTATCCATTCTGAAGGAAATCAGCCCTGAGTGCTCACTGGAAGGACAGATCCTGAAGCTGAGGCTCCAATACTATGGCCACCTCATGAGAAGAGAAGACTCCCTGGAAAAGACCCTGATGTTGGGAAAGATGGAGGGCACAAGAAGAAGGGGACGAGAGAGGACGAGATGGTTGGATAGTGTTCTCGAAGCTACCAGCATGAGTTTGACCAAACTGCGGGAGGCAGTGGAAGACAGAAGTGCCTGGCATGCTCTGGTCCATGGGGTCACGAAGAGTCGGACACGACTAAATGACTAAACAACAACAACAACAAAGGAGAGACCTGCCATTAGAACCAAGTGGGTCTCCCCCACTCCCAACAATAAACAATCTGAAAGAAAGCTAAGTTGAATCAAAGAACTGGACTCGGTAGCTGTACAACAGGCACACAACTTCTGTGGATTGAGAGCAGAAGGGGTTTATGCGGGATATTCTCAGCTTCTCATGTTACATTTGTTCTTTCCAGTAAATCTATCGCTGATTGAATAAATGCATTCATTTGCCTGCTTCCTTTTCACCATCCTGGCCCCTGTCCCTCTTGATCTCAAGGCATGGGCCAGAATGTTCTATCTCCATGTGCTCCAGTGCTTCACACTCAGCCGATTGGAATGCCTTTAAGAGCGATACACCCCCAGCCCTATTTTTGTCTGTTGAAATGTCTGGTTGTTTGATAGCTGCAGCGGCGGCGGCAGCCGCGTGAAGTTCACTCCCCAAGCAGCAAAGATTGATTTCTCCTTTGAGTAGCCCATGCTCTCCACAGAAGTATCCTTTCCAGTTATGTTTTGAAAGTCATCAGACATGCTGTTATAAATGATCACTGGCGATTACTGGAGCTGCTGCAAAATAATAGTGAGCAGAAGAGCATCTGTAATTTCCACGGCTGGTTTGCAATCATCACTCAAAAATGAACCCTGTCTGAATGGTAAGGCAAAACTTTTCCTCCACCACTCCTCCGCCTCTTCCCTCACTCCTCTGTTTTTCTGTGCTCTCTAATGTAGCTGAAATAGATACAGCCTCACATGAATTTTTATGCAGAACTCCAGGCAAACCACTGCAGAACTATCTCTCTGTGTGTGACGTTCAGGACATCTTTAGGAGTGAAAAGGTGAAGCTTCTATGTGCAACTCCAAGGTGGGTTTTGGCTATTGCCCAAGTGTTGCCCAACTTCTGTGTTGTTCATGTTGTGACCCCAAGGAAGGACTGCTCTGTGACTGACAGAATCTGAGTTCTTCCACAAGGCTTCAGGCACCATGAGCCAAGGAGACAGGCGGAGGCAGGGTTCTTTGGTATTTGCAAAGAAGCTGAAGCCACACAGTCCATAATATTAAAGGCAAAACCCTACCTAGCTGGGCAGGACAAGCTGGAGAACAGACCAGGAAGGAACATCAGGAAGCAAGTAAATATCTGGCAGGGAGGAAGAAAAACAACAGCCTGGAGTGGGATTAGCTTGCTTTGATCACATGACTCCCTAACTCAGATCACATGACTCTGAAATGCAGGTTCTGGCTCCCGCCAGCTGTTGCCTATCTTGAAATATGGAACACTAATATCAGGAGCAGGGAAATAGCATCTGGCCTGCCAGGGTTGCAAGTTTGAACCTTGTGGCATCTCAGTTATTGTTCAAGCTAGACTTCATGCAGGTTGTTGCTTGGAGCTTTTCAAACTGTTGAGGCATTCTGGTGGGCATTAGAGAAGTAGGCTTCAATATTTTCAGTGAAGGTGTGGCATAAGCTATACAGATATCAACAACTTCACTGGTGATGAATTTAAGCTAACATCTTATGGAGTCATCACTGAATTTTGGGTGGTAAAGGTAAAGGGACCCCTGACCATTAGGTCCAGTCGCAGACGACTCTGGGGTTCTGGTGCTCATCTCGCTTTATTGGCTGAGGGAGCCAGTGTACAGCTTCCGGATCATGTGGCCAGCATGACTAAGCCGCTTCTGGCGAAACCAGAGCAGCGCACGGAAACACCATTTACCTTCCCACCGGAGCAGTACCTATTTATTTACTTGCACTTTGACGTGCTTTCGAACTGCTAGGTTGGCAGGAGCTGGGACTGAGCAACGGGAGCTCACCCCGTTGCGCAGATTCGAACCGCCGACCTTCTGATCAGCAAGTCCTAGGCTCTGTGGTTTAACCCACAGTGCCACCCATGTCCCAATTTCGGGTCGTAGTGAATACAATTCAGGTTTTATGTTGTGGGTTCGCGGCTTTTAAAAATGTTGTTGGGCAATCAGAAACCTGAGATGCTTTCAACAATCCTATCCATGAAACATGCTCAACATGTAAAGCACTGTATATTCCGGTACAATGTCTTTTTTTTTTGCAGAAAACCGCATTCTCAATAGTATTATCATTATTTTTGTACCAAACCACTTGTATTCTCACAATTTAACCTTTTGCACCAGAGATTTAGGAATAACATTGTGGCTGGCGGCAGCAGTGTGGGGAGGAAGAAGAATGCCCTGCCCTCCCTGTTTCAGAGCTCATGCAGTCATTCCACAGGAGCAGATTATAAGAAGATGTTGTACCACTGGATAATAGCCAACAAAGCCCTACTCAGAGTAGACCCATTGAAATTAATGAACCTAAGTTAGGCAAGTGGATCTACTCTGAGTTCTGCATTGGTCACATCTCATCTGGAATACTGTGTCCAGTTATGTGGACAGTGTATTATGAGGACATCAGCGAATTGGAATGCATCCACAGGAGGGGAAACAAAGATGGTGAATGTCCTGGGTATGTTTAGCCCACAGAATAAATGGTTAACAATCCTCACATATTTGGAGGTCTGCCATGTAGATGATGTTGCTCCAGAGGGGAGAACCTAACCCAGTGTTTCAAATGACAATGAATGCTCTTTAAACATACAACTGTAAGGTTTATTTGTAATTTAATATTGAATGGATAAACTGTGGGCCTTTGGATCTTGTTGAATCTTGACCCTCACTGAAATCTCTTCCCCCTCCCCTGCCACTAAGGGAATCAGAAATGACATCACATCATATTGATTCCTCTTCGGACTCAGTGAGACAGTGTTTGTCTTCATTACAGAAGCTCTGCCGTTAATGGTGAAGCTATCCTGGAAGTCCAATCAGAGGTAGAGTCGGAAGCGAAAAAGTTAAGAGCGAACACAGTCTAAGGGGAAATATTTTGATAAGTGCTGAACCGTAATGCCTTTGGATGGTCTTACAACCAGTTGGCTCATTGGTATGAGTTTGTGAAGTTCATTCTTGATCCAGATCAATAAATCTTGAACCAACTGAGTTTTTATAATAGAACTCATTGAAGAAGAAAACTCCACGGATTTGATTGCTTTCCCCAGCTTTTGAAACGTAAAGAACAAACGCAGCACTGGAATAAAGAGTTTATTCTCCTTCAGTTTGAGTCAGTGCAGTGTGTATTAAGTCATTGTGCCTGATTCATAGTTCTTTGTCGTCCTGTCCCCCCCTTTTTGTGAGCAACTAGATTGGGTCGCTTCTAAGATACAGTAGCCAAATGTTGCAAGCATGGCTTAAATGATACCTTGATGTCTTTGCCAAGGATTGTACCAGTATTTCCATTATATGATTATATCATAAAGGCTACTACCTTAATTTATGTTATTCATTCCTACGCTGTACACTCAAATATTACTCACTTTGTTTGATGCATCTTGGGAGTATAGTTTGTAGATCGGGCTGATATAACCAGGGAATTTTTCTTCAAGTGTTCCCAGTTCCCCTCTTTATGTTATAAAGCACAGTTCTGCTTTTCTTGGCAAATAGGGATGCATTTATATATGCAGCAGCAAGATATTAGCATGGTCTCAACCACCAAATTTGGTTACGCTATTCCACATTTTCCCAAAGGCTCCTACAGCTTGCTCCCTCCCCCATGGACTTAGCTCACTGAGTGGTGATATGGGGTAGAACCTTCTTTGTTGTCACTCCCTGACTTTGAAATTTGCTTCCCGGAGGTATAGACTGCAGAGACCTTAAGGGGCTTCTGCCATCTAGTTAAAATATTCCTGTACAGTGGTACCTTGGTTTACAACCATAATCCTTTCCGGAGGTTGTAACCCAAGGTGCGCTTTTGCCAATGGGGCCTCCAAAAAAATAATAATTGTAATCCCCCCAAAAATGGGTTGCAAACCAGGACACACACTTCCGTGTTTGACGTGTTTGTGCTCCGAGCCCCAAAACCCATTCCTCATGGAAATAAAGACACAGTGGAGACAGAATTTAGTTTAAATGTTAATGGGCAAATTTTTGGCCACAACTTTATTGAATACACAAATGTGATTGGTATTGACTTAGGCATTGGTATCAAAACTATATCTGGCTCCTGCCCACCCTGCAGGAAGTCTGGAGGGTTTAACCATCAGCAGGGGGATCTCCATCCGTGTATATTGACTGGTGCTCACCCCTGGGGTTCCCGGGGGTTCTGGCATGGCCCTAGCCCCTCTCCGGGCTTCGGACGACATCCAGACCCCCGGATTCCTTTAACGGAATCCTATTCATTGGAGGGGCAGGTGATGGCCGCACCTCCCCTCCCCACATTCCCCTAAACCAATGCCTAACCGCCAAACCTTACAAAGTTGTGACGATTGCTAAGAGGTAGGCAAAAACCAAGTGGCCACAGCAAATCTGCCACATTGGGAAAAATTCCTACCCGGCCCCCGTTCTAAAACAGGTGACCAACCGAAGTCCAAAGCAAGGCCAGACATGACCTAACAGGTGGGTGGGCGGGTGTTCGGCAGCGCGAAGCAAAAGGAGGTCCCTACGTCGCGCTGCCAAATAGATATGCCCAATCTCCAACCTTTGCCACGATGCCGATTGGCTAAAGGCCAGTGACATAACTGTGGCACCACCGGCTTGGAGCGGGGCAAGCCCCACCCACAAGCCGGCTGGGAAGAGTTGCAGGGGCAGAGCACAACATGGACCCTCTGTTAGGAGGATCCAACTTGTAATCCAAAACATATGCAAACCAAGATGTATGCAAACCAAGGTACCATTGTGTTAGGGCAGGGATAGGAAACCTTCTTCAGACTGAGGGCCACATTGCTTTCTGGGCAACCCTCTGGGGGCCACATGCCTGTGGTGGGTTAGGACCGGGGTAAAAGTGGGTGGGTCAATGAATGTAAATTTTACCTGTAGTGTAGGCCAGTTTCTCTCGTCCTTGAACTCAATACAACATCATTCCTTCTGGTCCCTCGTCCACACACCTTGTTATATCTAAACTGTGCTTGCTTCTTGTTGCTACCAGATTGACCAGATTCTAGTTCATTAGTTTTCTACCCTCCCTGTACATCCATTATTAAAGGTGGGGAAACTACTTATTTCTTGAAACTCCGACCCTCTTTTAGCCAAATAGCCGCATTATCTGTACAGTTAAGAACATAATGTTGTTGTTATGCTACAGCAGTATACCGGGCTTTACATGATGCAAATTTTACAGCTCAAGGGTGTGAATATGTTTGCGGCAGAAACTGAGTGACATAAAATCCTGCATCTCAGATGCAAAGCAGCTATTTTCATGTGTCTGCCTCCATTCTACAGATACCCTGTAGCATGGCTTAGGAAGCCTAATTTCTTTTTATCGGTGGTCTGATTCTCTCCCCCCCCCCCCATAAGATTGCTGAGCTGCTTCATCCTAGACTCCTCTTTCATTTCGGTTTCTTATATTTAATTTGCTTCATAGTCTTATCATTTGCCCAAATCCTTTGTTCTTTGAAATGCCTTCTATATGTATTTGATTCCCTTAGTTAAATCCACTGGCATCTCTCCTTCTTCTGTCCTCTTTTTTTAAAAAAACAAAACAAAACCCAAAACCAGAACCAAGAAATTAAAGCATCTCCCAACTCTGGTCCCCCCACCACCACCCAGATGCATTTCGAAAAAATTGTTCCTAGAGAGAATACAGAGCCAAATTCCACGTTTCAATTTGCAGATGCTCTTGTCCTTCCCTGTGCCCATCTCTCCACCTTTGTTCTCCAGACTGTTAGGATGTCCATTAACAGTAATAGGAGCTTGTTAAGCAGGTAAAAAAAGACCATCCCTTCATCTCTCCAGCGCTTCCAGAATGAGACCATTAAAATGTAAGGAAAGGGAGTTCTACTGTAATGTGAAAAATTGAGAGTGAGAGAGAGCAAAAAAACCTTAATTTTGATTTATTAGTGAAACCATATGCTGCTGCTAATGGAATGAAAGCCGGGCTGACAGTACTGGGATATTAAAGCCCTTTGTTCGCCCACAGAGCAGAGGACTGCCCAAAGCGGCTGTCTTCCTTCTGCCCTGCCAATTCCCCTCATCTCCTCGCCAGTGAGACAGGCTCTCAAGAGGTGATTTCCTCCTCCTTCCTCTTTTAATCATTGGGCCCTGGGCTGAGAGATGGGTGGCAGTTAGAAAAGACTGGATTCCTTCACCTGCTTTTGCAGGCATGTTCCATAAAAGAAGCCAGATTACCCATCAGCGTATCTGCTGCCCAGTCACATGCAGTGTGATCCAAAGCAGGCTTACTAGGTAATGAGCCTCACTGAGCTCACCAGGACTTATTGTGCTGGTCTTGTTCTGTAATGGTCTCATTCTGGAAGAGCTGGAGAGATGAAGGGAGAGTCTTATTGTGCTAAATGTGTTTAGGATTGTACTGTCAGGAGCGTCTGTCTGCCAAGAAGAAATGGGGCCCCATCTCCTAATCAGATGTTGAGTTTTTAGTTGAGTTTTCAGTACAGAAATGAACTCATCACCATCATCATGACTCATTTGAGGCTATATGCTCAGTGGCAGGTTTGATCCCTGGAAAGGTAAGGTAAAAAGGTAAAGGATCCCTGGACACTTAAGTCCAGACAAAGGCGATGATGGGGTGCGGCGCTCATCTCGCTTTCAGGCCAAGGGAAGCCGGCGTTTGTCCACAGACAGCTTTCCGGGTCATTTGGCCAGCATGACTAAACCGCTTCTGGCACAACGGAACACTATGACGGAAACCAGAGTGCATGGAAACACAATTTCTCTTCCTGCCGCAGTGGTACCTATTTATCTACTTGCACTGGTGTGCTTTCGAACTGCTAGGTTGGCAGGAGCAGGGACCAAGCAACGGGAGCTCACCCTGTTGTGGGGATTCAAACTGCCAACCTTCTGATCAGCAAGCCCAAGAGGCTCAGTGGTTTAGGCCACAGCGCCACCTGCGTCCCTTTTTGATCCCTGGCATCTGCAGGTAAGGCTGGGAGAGTCTCCCTGTCTGGAATGCTGGAGAGAAGCTGCCAGTCAGTTGTAGACCATATTGAGCTCGATGGACCAATGGCTTGATTCAGTGTAAGCAAGAATACTTATTGCCAGAAAATGGAAGGGAGATGAGATTCCAACAAAGGAAGAGTGGCAGATAAAATTATTTGAATACATCTCCACTCATTTCTTCACTGCAGATTGAAATGTTTTCCACTCACATGCTATCCAGGAAAACTGCACTGTTGACTAGACCCTGAAGAGCACCTTGATTTTGTCAACAGTGGGGTTTTGTGTTTGAATACAATGAGTTTGCTAAAATGACAGAATTAATTAGGAATCGAACAAACCGAAAGTTCAGTAAGGAATGGGAGTGTTATAAAATCTACTTTTAAAAAAATTGTTCGCAAGTAAAACTTTTCTTATGCTTTGTCTAATGTTTGCAAAATACAAAACAGTGACTATAACTAAATCATAAAGTACTAAGAAATGAGAAACATCTAAAGAAGGCAGTTAATTACGGAAAAGTATGACTCAAATTGAGGTGGAAGGAACGCATCTCAAAGGAATAGAATATCAATGATTGATAATTTAGAATACCAATTATTGGTAACTGGTGGAGGAAAAAAATATTTAGTTAATATGTATTTTTATGTTTTTGGTTATCTTTATTTGTGGTTCAAATACTGGACTTTCCCCCCTCGTGGTTGTATGTAAGAAGCAAAATTCATTAAAAATTAATTTTAAAAAATGATTCAGTGTTAAGGCAATTTCCTATGTTCCTGTGTTGCTTTTCCCCTCTTGGTTTCTATGATGGGTGTCTAGGAGGGGGATTTACCTACTGTGAGAGCCAGTGTGGTGTAGTGGTTAAGAGCGGTAGTCTCGTAATCTGGGGAATCGGGTTCGCGTCTCCGCTCCTCCACATGCAGCTACTGGGTGACCTTGGGTTAGTCACACTTCTTTCTCAGCCCCACTCACCTCACAGAGTGTTTGTTGTGGGGGAGGAAGGGAAAGGAGAATGCTAGCCGCTTTGAGACTCCTTAAAAGGAGTGAAAGGCGGGATATCAAATCCAAACTCTTCTTCTTCTACTGCACACCCAGTTTGGAAACACAATGCTTTCTTCCTGATGGTGAAGAAAGTGATTGGCACCTCTG